TGTTGCCAGGTTTTAATAAGGGCCTTCCGTCTAGCTGCTCTGCAATGAATACCCAATCTGTGGAGAATCTGTTGAACAGATTTCGGGCTCATCCCATCAACTTTGGTCACTTCTGCAGTCGTTAATCTGGGATCCATTTCGATGCTCCACTTGACAGCCCTATTTTGTCCTCTTCGATGGACCAGAATGACCCGGACGCTGCTCAGTTGTTTTCTGAACTGCACGATGATTCTGTTGACTGTCAAAAGCGGGATTCCCAAATTCTGCGAAATTTGCCGCTGACTTATTCCACTATCTGCTTGACCAACTATCCTTCCTCTAACAAAATCTGACAATTCGAGAGAACCTTGAGTTCTAGGCATGTTGTAGCACAAGATAATTAGTGTGCGGACAATTTTCATTTATATAGTGCTCTGTGAACACAAATTAGTTAGCATAAATCAGTTAAATGACGAAAAATTAGGTGTATATTTACTTGTGACCACTCAATGTATACACCTTAGTTAAGATTCCTAATCTTGACTTGGAACTGTTCACTAAAATATCAATGATAGTCAAAATGGTGTAGTTTGATATAGGAAGGCATTTTCACATTCTAAAATAATTTATTATATCTAGGATATGTTGAGTTCTCTTTAATATTAATCTGCTTGTGGCCCTAATACTATGTCCATTGGTACTTGTTCTAATGGCATTTATTGGTTGTGCTTAAACACTGGTTCACACTTCACTTTTTCTTATTTCTTTCAGCACAGCTTGTTATGAATTTTTCTTTATATCCCAGCCAGTAGTATTACCCTAAGAAAGGAGGCAAAGGTATAATTATTTTTTGCCTACCTACCTATGCAGAGTACATCATTTTAATTATTTCAGGCAAAAAAAATTAATGTTTTAAAGTCATAATGTGGCATCTACGTAATCCATCTGTTAATCGTCCCTTGCCTGTATGAGGAACTAATTGTTGTAAAATAATTTGGTTCCATAGAGTAAAGTAACTATGTACCCCTTCAGGGTGAGTCTGCCTACCGTGCCCCTCAAAATATCTGATGTTGATTTTTGAGACATTATAGAGAGTGATAATGGCCGTCTCCAACCATTATTAGTCTCAAAGTGGGTTCCTCGTCATCGAACTAAGAGAATGGTTCCAGCTCTGACAAAGGGATATGAATTAAGTTCTAACTATCTTAATGTCCTTACTGCTCTTTATCTACATGTATTTTTGTAAAACCTATTCTGTATGAATCCTAAACAATGCTTATTTTTGATTCATCTTAATGATGGTGCATAAATTCCTTAATCCTGTCTCTCATTGGAGCTGCAGGAAAAACATATGTTATCTTTAGTGGAATTATAAGAGCCTAAATATGTAAATTTTGTTGATATTGGTTGATTTCATCCTTTATCCTCCCTACCTACCATAACCAGAAAATCCTGATATTGTTCTTCAGTCCTTAGGTCTTACCCTGGATATGGAGGTTGGCCGAGTTTCTCCGTGAACTGTAACTATTTTTGAACTCTTAGGTCAAATAAAGTATTGACCTAAGGACACTAAATGTTGTTGAATATATCAATTAAAACAAAACGAGCTGTCACTGTAAGATTAGGAAAAGTTTCTTCAAAGTTGCAAATTGTACTTTTAGCATATACTTTCTGTCTAGAATCACTTGGAATTGGTGCTAAGTCGTTAAAAGATTTGCTGTTGAGTGATCTGGAAAGATGTCATTGTGGATTAGAAAGACAGAATAACCAAGATTGGTGAAGACTTTGAGCTACTGAAAGAGATTTGGTCCAAAATATAGTTAAAAAAAATTGTTTTCTGCTCCTCATTTGGTAACTTCTGGGATCTTTATTGTAACTAATTCTACAACACTGATTTGTCAAGGTAAGGTCTGTCCATTTGTTAAACTGGCATAATAATTAATTGTTGATAATGGAAAATATTTAATTCATTTAAAGAATTGTAAAATATACATCTTATCAAAACGAATAGTTTGGTGGCCTAAATTATGTGAAAAAACCAACAACAGTATAATTCTCAAAATAATTTATCCATGTAATTGGTTACATCACTCATTATTACAAAAACAAAAGTTTGATTTTAAGAATTTCATGTTATGAAATAAATTTTTTTCAACGATTTAATTATGTTTTTGTCTCATAGTTTCTCTTTGTTTTATAGCATTTGGATGAAAACAAATATAAGGGCAAAGTATTTTCAATGTGAATATATTTAAAGTTGAAGTTAGTCACATATTTAATTCAAGTTTTTCATTGCAGTTGCATTGATGTCAAGAGCTATAATTATTGAATGGAATATTTGTAGCAAGTCTTTATTTTCATTATAGTAAAAGCAGTATGTTGTGTTAAACTTGATAACTGGCAAAGTTTTAGAGAATTCAATGCCTACATAAGAAAATCAGAAAATGTTAAGTCTATGGTAGCTTTCTGAAAAATTGGAAGTACATGGTACTAGTTCTTGTATCAACTAATAAAAAACCTTTGAATATGTTGTGGCTATAATCTGACATAAAATTTCATAACTAGTTTTTAACTTGTGTTATGGCTGTATTTAAGAGTTTTGAATTTCATCTCTTTAACACATCTCTTCTGGAAGAATAATAAGTTGCTTGCCTGTTGTACTATTTGCTCATCAGAAAGCAACACTTGGTTGCTAACTGACTGTGCATGCATCATTCATTTTAATGATGTTTCCATCATCCCATGGACTAAGAAAAATTAGTGTTCTTGTTTAGGGTTTGATTTGTAAGGATCTGCAAGTTTTGTGGTAGTACTTTTGTGTTTACAAAAGCAAAAAGGCCATAGGATTTTTCAGGATTCATTAATTGGTTTGTATTATTTCATAACTTAACTTTTAAGTTTATTATGATTTAATAAAATAAATTTGCCAGCACAGTTATAAACAACAGAGGTAGAATTTCAATGATGTTAAAACAGTTTCACTAGATTATTCAAAGACCGTTTTGTCCTTAACGTTCTCTAATAAATTCACCTTTGTCTTTGGTGCTGTGAAAAATATTACAATAAATTAAAGAGAAGAGGAATATCTACTAAAGGTAGTTGTAATTAATTTTTAGTTACTGCATATCATTCAGTAACATTAGTTGCCATATAGAAAAATATTTAAGGTCAAAATAATGAATGTATTTTCAAAACTGCATTAATTTTCTTATAAATTCCTAAAATTAATATCTGGAAGAATTTTTCCTTTTTTAAAATTCTTGGCCTTTATATTTTTGCTTCTAACAGTAGGAAAATCTTGTAAAAGAAAAATAATTAATTGAGACACCACTATCTTTAGGTTGGCTGTTAAAACAATTACTAAATTATTTCATCAAATTAATTCAGAAAAGTTGTCTCGTTTTAACTGCTTTTACACTAGAAAAGTCAGTTATATGTTTTTTTCTGTAGTTATTAAATCAAAGTACCATGTTTAGTACTTGCCAAGTATGACAGGTTTTTAACACAAAAACATATGGGGAAGGAATTGGGAAGTACAGATAAAACCCATTAACCCAATCTCAATAAATGACTCTCTCTTTATTTTGTACAAACAATGACTGTTTTTACAAAAGTGTGAAACTATTCAATACTGTCACACGCGAAAACATTCAGCAAACATGCAATTCTATTCAAAATTACAAACTTTGAAGTCACTCATTTCCAGACGAAATTTTTATCTGAAATATATTTAAAATATTAGTTCTCTTTTGGAGTGAAGTTGTATCCTTAAAACACAATTCTGTATAAATGCCAAAAGGCACACTGTATCACACAAACACACACACAAAAAGGCACTGATAAAAAAAAAATTATGTTTGCAGAATCTACTATGTCTCTTTAATCTGGTTACATACAACATATATCACTGTAAGACATTGTATAGGTCTGGTTTTGAATTTTTCTTAGTGCAAGGTATCATAGAAATGACGAGACTTGCAGTTTTTTGAATAGTAGCAATATTAGATCGTTTCAGAAAATTGGTAAGCATATTGATTCAGAAATAATAAAACTGAAAGTAGAAGCAAAGCTGCTAAACATTATATAGCAACTATGTAATAAACATCAAGTGAAGCTATTTTAAGATGTTTATTACAAAATTGCTATGTATTGTTAACCTTTGTTTTTTGGTAATTAACAGATGTGTGGAAGATGGTGAAAAGATTAATGATAATAATGACAAATAAAACAGTAAACACAGCTAATAAAATAAAACTGTTCTTATTTTCTAAGCTTCTTAGAGTAAATGATTTGTTTGTTGTTAAGCACAAAGCTATGCAATGGGCTATTTATGCTGTGCCCACTATGGGTATAGAAACCCATCTTTTAGCATTATAAACCCTCAGACTTACTGCTGAGCCACAGGTAGGGGGGAGCTAACATAAAGGCATAAAAATATTTCAGTTTACTTATATGTGTTACAACTTTAGACTTAAATCCTTTTAATGTTTTGTAACTTTTATTTACGAATAATTGTTATTGAAATTTTGGCCCCTTACTCTTAAAATATTGGTGATTTTGAATTAACACAAGTACATGTAAGGTTTATATACAATCTGTTTACATATTTAACAATACAATTGCACTTTGCCTGCAAAAAAAAAAACAAAAAAAAACACAAATCCTTAAACAGTAATAAATTAGTAAGGTTATGAATAATGTTAAATGTTCAAAATTTCATATTTGGAGCTCAGTCTCTGACACAGAAGATGTAGTAGAAGTAGTAGGATTTGACCTCTGAGACCGAGAGTAATGTGGGGTTACCAGTCCCGAAATAGGAGCTACTGTTCCACCTGGATGCACTAATGGTGAATAAGATGGTGACCGAGTAGCAAGAGGAGATAGTGAAGGAGAAAAGCTAGGAGACATTGCTGACGAAGAAAATGTGCTTTCATGGCTGATTGGGGAACGTGGTAAAGATGGTAGGGATGTAGTCTGACTAGTGTGTCCTGAATTGAGTGCAACAGGAGCAATGGAACATGGAGCCACACTTGTTATAAGTGGCGGGGGCACAGTTTTTACTTGAGGGTTGAGAGTTTTCTTTGGAGAATTTGAAAATGATGGAGGAATACCATCATCTTTTAATCGAGCAATTTCAGCAAATACATGGGCTAGAGGTTGATACTGAGGTCCCCAGTCTAAAAGATAGTCCCAGTTATAACTACCTGTAAGTTCTTCTTCACTATGTACAATAGAACTGAGAGAACCATTCATAGATGGTTCACCTTCATCCCCAAAACCAAATGCTCTTGTTCCATCCATAATTGCATTATTTTCTTCTGTACCAACATCATTTAGTTTGGAGTATATAAGATTTCCTATGTCCATGCTATTTCCTTCTCCACCACCTTCTTCATCAAACATATGCATACTTTCTACACTATGAGCATTTTGTAACTTATTAAAGTTCTGAATATTACGAGGATCAGGATGGGAGGTGTTGATGCCAAGTCGTGCTAAATACTCTTGTGTATTCTGAATTGAGATTTCAGATAGATTGTCATCATCTGGAAGAATACCTGAATCAGGAATGGTAAGTCTATGTATCTTATTTTGCTGAAGATGAGGTCCTTCATTTATCATCCTAATCTCTTCATCTTCTACATCTTCCCCATCTTCAGCAGATCCTCGACCACTAGATGCAGAATGAGACTGCTCTGAAACCTCCGAAGTTGCCCCATTTATGTGCTGTGTACGATTAGTTGGGTCAAAATGGGAAATATCACTGTAGTGAGGAGGAAACTGGGAGATTCCAGAAGTACTTGACGGAGGTGGGCGAATATCTATAGTATCAAATGAATTATCAAATCCATGGATAACCCCAGGTTTACCATTTCTCTTATTTCGCATGCGCAAGAAAAGAATAAGAGAAAGAAGAATTACTGCAATAACAGCTAAAACAATAACAAGGCCTAATGCCCATGAAGGAAGACTACTTCCTTCTACTTTTTCTTCAGCTGATGCAACTGATGATGCATTTAATGTGTTGTCAACAGTAATCTGGAGCACTGCTGAACTGGTCAGTGAGTGGGGTCTACCACTTCCTGCTACTACAGTGAGTGATGAAACTTTATTAAAGATATTTTGGTCAATCCTGTTATCTGTCTGTTCATATCTAAAGGTTGATTTGATAACGATCACTCCTGTGGTGTCATTGAGTTTGAAGTTCTTGTGCAGTTCACGTAAATTGTAAAAGATACGGCCATCAATACCCTCATCTCTGTCCACAGCTCTCACCATGCCTACAACAAAACCATTAGGTGCATTACCAGGAACAATAAAATGATAGGAATTATGTGTAAATTCTGGTGGATATTCATCTTTACTTTGAATGTTTATTTGAACTCGAACAGTGGTATACTTGCCACCTTTATCCATGGCCATTATTGTAAAGTAATACCTACTTTTTGATTCATAATCAAATATCATGCCTGTTGTAACAACTCCTGTTTCAATACCAATGATGAACTTGTCTCTTCCTTCTCTGTCTGTTATAGAATAATTCAGTTTGCCATAAATTCCTCGATCACCATCATTAGCATGTGCTACAAATATTGAGGTACCAAGAGGAGAATTTTCATCTACAAATTCTGTATACAATGAAAGAGGAAAATATGGTTCATTATCATTTTCATCATTTACTTTAACAGTCACACTGGCCAGTGCAGAAAGTGGGTATTTAGGATCACCATCTGAGGCACGAACAATGAAACGGTATTCTGTCACTAAGTCATAATCAAGAGTTTCAACAAGTGTGATGATTCCAGTTTTAGAGTTGAGCTTAAATTTCTTCTCTATGTTCCCTGATGTAATGTCATAAATAACATGGATATCAGTTGTCTCATCTCGATCTGCTGCTAACACTTGAAGCACAGTGGTCCCTATTGGAGCTAATTCTGATATGAAGACTTCATAATGGCTTTGGTTGAACACTGGAGGATTATCATTAATGTCATTTACCTGGATTATAACTTCTGCTGTGGCATTTAATGTAGGCATACCATGATCTGTTGCTGCAACCTGAAATATAAAAAATGATATGTTTTCATACTACATTAGAATGGATTAGAAAAAGTACAGTTCCAAGTAGCCAAAAGGGAATAGAAAAGAACAAAAGACTGGGCAGTTACAATAATGTTTATAAAGACTAAAAAACATTAATTTCAAAAGTAACTACTTGTTAAAAATGCAAAACTTCAGAGCATTATTATTAAACATGACTTAGACTACCCAATTTTAGCTATTAATTACACTGATCCCTCATTTTGTTACTTTATAAAATTAGAATAGCAAGCATACAAGTGTTAAAATAGTTCACAAAATAAAAACCTCATGTTAACAACGTACAAAATTTGTAAAGTAACGGCAAATTAGTTTTTTAACTCTGCTTTAAAAATTATATAGAAAATACAAGAGATTATTAATGTCTGTGAAGTATAATTAAAAATTTAGTGTATCTATTTGCATAATTTATATAAATACTGTATCACCAATAGACAAGTCCATCATCTAGTGTATTTATTAAAAGTGTTCAAGCAAAACAATATTTAGTTTAACAACATACTAATACTATGACTGTGCTGCTACCTATTGAAAGGAGTGTGCTTTGCACAGACTTTATAAAAGATGCTTTCTTGGCTTAGCTGGATTTCAATGCAATTGAGAAACTAAAATAACACAATATGTGTTTAATGGGAATTAAAAAACTCATGTTCCAATTATATGCTAACTTTTATTGAGGAGTCAAAAACTACTAAGTACAAACTTATTGGTCTATGCGAGTTATTACCAATAAAAGTATTCCTTCTTTTAAAAGACAAAATGGGGCATCTTTGTAAACCAAAGATAAATAAACCACACATTGATAAAACATGTTAGTTAATGATATGAATATAAACATTATGGCATGTAAAATCATTTATTTCAATATGAAGCAAAACAAATTTTGAGACACCTTTAGGATACTTACTTGTTACTGCCATATTAAAATATTATTAACTATATTTCACTACTTATAATATCATGCCTTCAAAAATGAACATTAATCAAACTTAGATTACTTTTAAAAATAAATCATTAGTAACTATTATTTATATAATACATATCATGTTTCTTTATTTTCAATCACTGGCCTTTACTAATGTAAAGTCAGGGGTATGAAAATCTACTAGACCTACATACTGGGCTATCAAATTTTGGGTTTGGTATACCATGAATTCCATCTGTTCAGCTCTTTTTGCATGAAAGGTGTACACGTATGTAAAACCCAACTATATTTCTTTATTAAAATACCACCTGTTGTTAATCCTTCTTTCTACTCACTAAATATCTACTGTCATCAAAAGTTTTGTATGATCAGTAGGCTGTTTTTTAAATGATAGGCTAATCCATCATAGGCATGATATCCAAATACATAATTATAACTCAGTAACCAACTTGTAAATTAAAATGTCCAGTTGTTTAATTTTAGATTTATAACACTTTCTAATTTACATGATTATTTTTTGCTGGGAATGGAAGAGTTATTTTTTACTACAAAGTTATATTGATATGATATAAAACAGCTTGTTTTTATGAAATGACTTGAATCACCCATGTGGATACAAATGTCCTTTTTCTTAGGTATGAGAGAAATGTGCAAAGTGTTCCAAATGTTAGAATGTTGTGTGGTGTTTTTGGTTTCATTGTATATATTTAGACTGGCTAACCTGCCCATATATTTTACATCTGCATCACATATGCTGTAACAAATCATATTATTTTTAGTTTTTTAATACTACGAAAGAAATTACTGCAATTAATACAGACATATATATATGCATTTGCATTGTGTAAAAATTTAGTCATTATAGTGAAAAAAATAGGTTGGACTAATAGAAATTCAATTCTGGCAAGAACATTTCTCATGCCTACTAACCTGGGGCTCATACATGGAAAAAAAAATTTTTTTCAACTTTGCATAATATAAAACTTTATTAGATCATCTCTCTATACTTAAAGAGTTCACAACAGACTAACATATATGATTCTTCACTGTGTATGAAGGATGGTAAAAAATCTTTATGTTGCCATTTTTCAGCTTGTTGTTGAAAATGAATTTACACTATTATTTACACTACATTAATATTTCAAATCATAAAAGGCCACCAAAGCAAACAGAAGAAGAAAAAGCCTAAAAACCTTTATCCTATAGTAGTAATTATTATTCTGTTTCCCAATTTTATATGTTCAAAATTTTCAACAATGGGAATTTTTAAAAGAAATGAAAACACCAGAAAATGAATCCTTTAAAATTCCAGATAGTTATTATCCTACCTCTAAAGAGAACCTCTTGATAACTTCATGATCAAGTTGTTTCACCAAAAAGATTTCCCCTGTATTACTAGATATTGAAAATGATCCTCCAACATTGCCACTGATGATAGAATAGAAGATCTGGTAATTAGCATGAGATTCATCTAGATCTGTTGCTGAAACTTTCAGTACTGTTGTTCCAAGTGGAGAATCCTCAGGAATATGAGCACTAAAACAACAAAGTTATTCAAAATGTTATTATACAACAAAATAGATAAACATACATTCATACATACTTTTTGCCCTAATTCTTCTAGTTCTGTTTTATTAAAAATCACTGGAAACAGGATTATGTAAAAATATAACTCATAATATTATTAAAATGTAAAAATGTGATATTGCATCCCAATGAGATAGAATAATTTTAGTCACATCATTATTTACTAACTTGATAATGAGTTTCAAATAAGAAAATCAGATAACAGCATTTCAAATCACTTCTTATTGGAAACCTATAATGACTAGTAAAGAAAGATGTGAATTAATATTATTATCAGTTTGATCAGGATGTAATATTATACCCATTATTAATTAAGGAATCATGGTTTGCCAGTTTAAACAATATAAACCATTAGACTTGAGACAAAAGTTTAAATCTATAGTAAAATAGTGGTTATCTTAAACTGCAAGGAATCAGCATAAAATACAAACTTACGTGTAAATTGGTTGAGAAAATTTTGGAATATTATCATTTACATCCACAATCTGGATTCGAACAGCAGTAACAGCTGTTAGTGGTGGCACACCACTATCTTGGGCTGTCACAACCAAATGAATAATTGGTTGCTTGGGACTGAACACAAGCGATTTGTTGGTGTAGATGACTCCTATGAATACACCATCAATAGGCTTAAATAACAAATACAAGCCCTCTATAATCCTTTCAAAGTATTTCAACCATAGCTTACTTTTTATGATTTCTCTACTCATGCATTAATGTTTTAGAAAAGAATAATTTGATAATAGCCTTTTACCTGCTATCAAAATGTAAGTCAACAATATGTTGCATCCAATTTTTCATATTATTACAGTATATGTTCATATTGTTTTATTGACCTAAAAATGGGTGATAGAAATCTGTTTTTACAGGGACTTGAAACCAAGGTACCTAGTTTGTAGCAGTGTTTTGAAACCAATGCTTTATCAACTGAGCTAACAGGGCTTCAAGTCTTAACCAGATAGTTCTCCACTTAGTTCAGTATGTATACTTTCCACTGAATTTGGCAAAGTTCCTCATCCCAACCAATCTCCAATACTTGTATTTGGATAGAGTGATTTGATTTACCATCTTACATCAAACAACTACAGAAATATGTAATTCACTAAATACATCTTAATAGTCTCATTAAATCTCACATACTTAAGTAGCTTCATATTTTAAAGAACAATTCATATCTTTTACCACATGGACCTACTTAATTTTGTCAGGGATACTGTCCAGAATTAATTGTGAGGATGAAATTATAAGTAGGTCACTAGGGCTAAATGCTAGACTTAGGTTAGTATGTAAGGATGAACATATTGGCTGGTTGGACTTGTGGTATCAGTTCAGTGGAACAAGTGAGCTTTTTGAATGGATGGTTTACATTTAAATAGAGTATGGGCTGGCTTGTTTGCTAAAGCTATTAACTCAGCTGTAAGGGAAGTTTTAAACTAGGAGTAGACAGTGGTGAGGGCAAGGAAAAACTAAATGCAAAAAGAATAAGAGGCAGAGAAAAGATTAACATAGAAAATGAGTATAGATGTAGTTATAAGGATAGGCTTAATTGTTACTATTGTAATGCTAGAAGTATAAGAAATAAAATAGATGACTTTATAGCACTTGTAGGAATGGAGGATTTTGATATAATTGGAATAACTGAAATATGGTTAAACGTAGATGATTTTGATGACAGACATTTCTTTCAAATTCAGGGTTACAGGCTATTTAATAAGGATAGAGTGTTAAAGAGGGGGGGGAGCTTTATATGTAAAATGTAAATTACATCCTGTTGAAGTTGAGGATATCAAAGATAATAGCAAAGAGATTGAATCCATTTGGGTTTCTATTAGTAGATATAAATGGAAAAGGCTTTTAGTGGGAATTTGTTACAGACCACCAAATAATACTGATGAAATTAGTGAGAAAATTTACAATGAGATTAAGATTTCAGTTGTTAATGAAATCATAATTATGGGTGATTTTGATTTCAGGCATACAGATTGGGAAATGCTAGAGTCAAAACATGAGGTAGAAAGGTTTTTGGAAACTATTCAAAATGGCTTTCTCACCAGTTACTTAAGGAACCAATTAGAAACAATGCTATTCTAGATGTATTGTTAACTTCAAATACAGAAATGATTGAGAGGGTGGAAATTGGGGAACATCTAGGTACAAGTGATCATTGCTCTATTACGTTCAATGTTTTGCTGCATATGGAGATGAGGAATAATGATATTTTGGTTAAAAATTTTGAAGGGATGCGACAAGAATTATCTGTTACAAATTGGGCAGCTGAAGTATTTGGAGACACTGATCAGATGTGAAAATTTTTAAACATTCATGGTAAATATATTCCTTATAGAGGGTTTGTTTGTTTGTTTTTGAATTTCACACAAAGCTAGTAATTTAGCAGTGTAAGACTAGAGGGAAAGCAGCTAGTCATCACCACCCACCGCCAACTCTTGGGCTACTCTTTTACCAACGAATAGTGGGATTGACCGTCACATTATAATGCCTCGATAGCTGAAAGGGTGAGCATGTTTGGTGAGATGGGGATTCAAACCTGCGACCCTCAGATTGCGAGTTGAGCGCCCTAACCACTTGGCTATGCTGGGCACCTTATAGAGGGAAAAAAAAAGAGTAGCTGCAAATAAAAAACCAGGTTGACTCACAGAGTTTATAAGATAAAATTAAAGAA